GAACTCCCCAAAATGAGCTAGAAGGCATGAATGAAAGTGTCCCTTTTCCCTAGCCAACCACAGGGAGAGCAGCTACTGAGCTGCTCACACTGCCGTGGATGGTGCTAGGAACCTCACACAACAGCCTTTCCTTCCATCCTCACAATGGTCCAGAGTAGGCGAAGTTGAGCCTCAGGCAGCCATGGCGCCATGTGCACACCCTAGTACCTTGCCGATCCTCAGGGCTACGCCAGGAAGAAGGTACTATCATTTCTTCAGTTTACAGGTATGGATGCTAAGACTTAACAGTTGTTAGCAACTTGCCCAAATGCACTGCATGCCATGTGCCATGTTCTAGAACCAGGATTAAAACAGCGCTGTGGCCCAAATCCTGGGTTTTATCCCATCAGGTCTTGTGTGGAATGGTATATAGGATTTGCTTACACCGCTGCTAAGAGGCAGAGTGGGATTTGAATCCACACTCTTTTCTTCATACAATCATGTTTCTTAAGAAATTTGGGGGCAGCCTGGGTGGCTCAGTGGTTTAGCGCCACCTTCAGCCCAGGGCCTGATCCCAGAGACCTGGGATGGAGTCCCACGTCAGGCTCCCTGCATGGAGCCTGCTTATCCCTCTGCCTGTGTCTCTGCCTGTGTGTGTGTGTGTGTGTGTGTGTGTGTGTTTGTGTGTGCGTGTGTGTGTGTGTCTCATGAATAAATAAATAAAATCTTAAAAAAAAAGGAATTTGGTGTTGGTGTGATCTTGGAACTTGTATTTCCACTGAATTGAGTTGAAGTACTAGAAGAAGTGCTATGGAACAAGAGAGAGACAGACAGAGAGATAGAGACAGGGAAAGGACAGCCCACAGCTGGATGAGATGGTGGCATGGAGCAGACATCACAGGGGAAGGAACAGTGTAGACAAAGGTTGGAGGTGAGAGGGAACTGTAGGGACACACCTGAAGGATGGTCTAACTTAGTGCTTCTTCTGTGTGCCAATCTCAGCTGGCTCCAATAGCAGAGCTTCTGGTGTGTGTCCGTCTGGGGCCCATTTCTTAAGTGTCTATAGAGCTCTTCCTTCTGATACTGGGTTCTGGATTTCTCATGCAACTTCCATCCCTTTGTCGTCCAGTTTTCATGAGCAAAGGCCTTGCTGGAAGAGCTAAGAATGGGTAGAAGTCTCATGGATAGAGACAAACTTTCCCAGGCCCACTTGGTATCCACCATCCTTGTCTTTTCTGGGTGCGTGATGGTGGGCATGGGTTTCCAGGGCCAGTGCCGACATCTTCCGTGTCTCTAGAAGGGACCGATCCCCACTTGAAGTGTCAGCTTGGTGTATGATGGCTGCATTACCTTTCTTGGAAGGAAACAAGGTTTTGTTTTTGGCTTTTTATTTTGTTTTGCTTTTTGTTTTTGGCAAAATGCCCTGTTCTATCAGGCTTTTTTTTTTTTTTCCCCTGAAGCAAGGAACACCATGACTCTTATATTTACCTTCTTTGATGAAAGGACAAAGCTGAGGGCTTTGCATTTTTCCATCTTCTTTGCTAAGTGGGCCTTTCAAGAAAAGTAAGCAAGTAAGGAACTGACATTTGTACAATTTAAGAAGGGCTTTCGCACTTTTGATCCTTAATATAACTAGTTGATGCTTTTGCTGGCATCTAGTGAGTAATCAGTCCCCATATCCAGTTAGGTAATCCAAGGCTGGAATTAGATGGTGGAGGTCAGGGTTGAGAGTGGAGCAAATGCAAGGCTTTGGGTGCTCAGTTCAGTACATGCTCCATTGCACAGTGTTGTCTCTCTGGTGCTATTTCTCCATCACTGGAATCAGGAAGCTTAGGACGCTGGGTATTGCATCGACAGGGCTTAGAAGGTGTTAGCTATTAATATCTGTAATATCACTGCTGTGGTTGTTGTTATATCCCTTCTCTGCTGTACTGAGGCATTTCTCCCAATAGCAGAGGCTCTGTGCCTTGGGACACAGGATGATAGGATGGGAACTGCAGACTGGGATCTGCATTGCCCTGGGCAATGGTGCTAAATGCATCCCATCTTCAATTATTTTGCTAGGAGATAGGGGAACCACCATACTCATGTTTTACTCTTGAACTGCAGATCACTAAGTCAATTTGGGACATGATGACCAACATTTAAAAAATGAAATGGGGATCCCATCCCAAAAAATGAAATGGGGTGGCTTAGCGGTTTAGCCCCTGCCTTCAGTCCAGGGCCTGATCCTGGAGTCCAGGGATCAAGTCCCACATCAGGCTCCCTGCATGGAGTCTGCTTCTCCCTCTGCCTGTGCCTCTGCCTCTCTCTCTCTCTGTGTCTCTCGTGAATAAATAAATAAAATCTTAAATAAGTAAGTAAATAAATAAATATAAATACAAAATGAAATGAAATAGAAAAAATTGAATAGAAAATGCCATAATGGATTACCCACAGTGTGTAGTTTCACGGAATGTTTACACGTATGTATGTGTATAATGCATTACGGTATAAAATGAATTTTCTACTGTGGGTGGCGTTCAAAAGTTTTAGGGATGCTGTTGTAAGGAATAGAGGCAATGTAGGTAAGGCAAGTGCTAGGCACAGAGGAAGTGATCGAATGATTATTGTTACCAGCAGCTTCTTCGTTGTTATCTCCATCACCAGACAAGCCAGGAAAATTCATGGTTGTCTACCTACATTGAACCAGATAGTTCCTGAATCTCACACTATCAAAGAGCAACTCAAGTGGCTAGGCCAGTGCTCCTTAATCCTGCTGACCATCAGATATGTCCATTCAAAAGGTCAGAGGACTATGGCCGGCACAAATCTTCTGAGTCTGAGAAGCACTGAGCAGAGAACTGACCAAGCTTGCCTTGAAGGAATCAGGGTGCCTTCTGGGCACGCTATGTCAAAAAAACGTTCTTGCCATTTAATACCTGGTGTCCCCTCTTTAGTTAAAAAGGACTGAGCAGCAACTCACATGTTGATTACCACTGAGCAGCTGTGCCCCCGCTCAGATCAGAGTGGCACCTGCTTGGAACAGAACATCTTGTTATTCTGGGTCCCTTTCTCTATGGCAGTTCGAGTGTGATGGTGCATAAGAAACATTGAGCAGATATTTGTTCTAACACCTACCATTAGCTGAACATTAATTTAATTGTGCTGAGCTTTTGCAAAAGAGCCTCCACATAGTTTTCAGAATGACCTTTCTTCAACAATGTCTGATTTTGTCAATATCCTGATTTTAGCACTTTAATGCTTATCTACAGGATGGTCACTGATCTCCTTGGTCAGGCACTCAAAGCCCTTCCTCCTGTGATCCCTACTGACTGCCTTTGCTTCATCTTCTGATCTTCCTGGCTTCACACTGATGCTTTATTTCCCCTATACTTATAGCTCCTTGAATGGGCTTTGCTATTTCATGTCTTCACACTTAATCACATGCCTTCCCCTCTGCTTGAAGCGTCTCTCCCTGTCTCAGTCACCTGCTGAGTTTCTATTCATTTATCAGGACTTCGTTCACCTCTTTTGTGATGCCTTGAAGGTTAATTACTTCTTCCATTGAAAACACATGAACCTGAGGGATATGTTCATTAATATTTGATTAAGATCAATTATAGCCAATTTATTTAGTTGCGTGTCTCTATGAAGGCATGTCCAGGTTGGCATGTACTAATTGTGACATCCACTAAATGATAGCGGAGCCAACCAACTTCTATGAGAGACCTACTAAGTGCCAAATTAGAGCCCCAGGCATGGTAAACTGTATAATGCCCCACCCCAAATATCCATGTCCTCCCCCTAGAACCTTGAATGTTACTTTATGTGACAAAAGGAACTTTGCAGATGTGATTAAGCTAAGGATCTTCATATATAGAGATTATCTTGGATTATCTGTTTGGACCCAAAAGAGTCCTTAAAAAGAGGAAGCAAAAGAAAGACACAAGGCCATGTGAAGGCTGAAGTAAGATGCTACCTGTTGGTTTTGAAGATGGGAGCCACAAGCCAATGAATGTGGTTCTAGAAGCTGGAAAGGTTAATGGAACAGATTCTTCCCAGGAGCTTCTGGTAGGAGCATGGTGCTGCCAACGCTTTGCTTTAAGTCCAGGAATCTGCTTGTGGACTTCTGGCCTCCAGAAGTTCAAGAGAATAAATGTGTGGGTTTTAAAACCATTCCATTGGTGCTAATATGTTACACCAGCAACAGGAATCTAATATACCAGGTAACATGCATGATGGGACAGAACTTACAGATGGGATTTACTGGAGAAAAATAAAGTAGAGCAGTGCTTCCCAGACTTCCCAAGAATCACCAGGGATCTTGTTTCACTGTAGATTCTGATTCACCAGGTCTAAAGAAGGGCCTGAGATTCTGTATTTCATATAAGCTCTGGAGTGAGGACCATGCTGCTTGCCCAAGGACCACACTTTGAGAAGCAACAGACTCGAGCAGTGGGGTGAACACAAAAACTAGATTGAGTGAAGGGAGGGTTTTAGAGAGGTAGCTGTGGGCACAGAGTTTTAGAGAAAAAGATCCACTAGACAGGAATCTATGCAGTGGTGGCCCTGGAATGGATGTATGATGGTACCAGTGATTTCTCAGTGCCCTCTTGGTTGGGAGTCCAGAGGTCACTCTTTATTGTCTCTATCACTTCCAACAGCCCTGATGACAAGGCACTTAATGCTTTTTTTTTTCTTTTACACATGATGATTTAACAGCCTAGAGTATTAAAAGACTGGCTACACCCACATGGAGTGAGACCTAATGAGTCCAAAATAAGTGGGTTTTTTTTTCCCCTACTTCCTTCAACCACCTTTTCTCAATAAGGAATAATATGCATGTGCTATGGGGTTTTGCTGAGAGAGCAGTGATTTTCAATTTTCCTGCAATGTCTGGAGCCTCAGTGGAGATCTTCACATCCCTCAGTGAAATATGCACATGTTACCAGGGATTGAAATTGGACTTGGCAAGACCAAGGCTGAAAGGGAACCAAAGCTTTTACCAGGGCATTCTGGTAGATTAAGTGACAATCCAAGTGCTTGCTTCGGCAGCACATATACTAAAATTGGAGCGATACAGAGAAGATTGGCAAGGCCCCTGTGCAAGGATGACAGTCCAAAAGCTGAGGGGTAGAGAGAATCCTTCCAGGCATGGGTAGAGGACAAGCTTGAGAACATGAGATGGCCCTTAAAGAGCTCCCAAAAGGTCAAATCAGAGAAGCCAAGGGCATTCAACAAGGCCAGGAAGCAGGGGCAGGACTGCAATAGGAAGAGAAGATGCAGATCCAGAACGAGAATGGAAGAGCAGTGGTATCAGGATCCAAACAGGGGCCATGGAGATAGACCACATTTCTTGCCCCTCACCAGGTCTGTGGCTGTGGTGGGTCTACTCATCAGTAGCATGGGAACCTTCATACTGATGCTGTAGGTGGTGGTGAAGGTCACTACTAATCTACAGAAGTCATTCCCAAGCTGTCACGAAAATGACGGATTCCTTCAAGCAGCTGTGCTGTCTGTTGGTCTTTATGCATGTATTATTGGTTTTATAGTCTGACCTAAGAGTTTGCCACAGAGTTCCTGCAAGTTCTTTATTGATGTGATTTTGTCTCCTGTTATTCTATGGCTTAGAACATATAGGGAAATCCTTGAGTTTTTCCTAAATTATTAAAGATCATCAGAGGTTAGGAGACAGGAGAGAGTATATTTGGGGAGGGAAGCTTTTATTTTATGGTGACTGGCTTTTCTTTGGCCGCTGGCTGATATTTATGTTATGCCTGATACAGAAGGGCTTTCCCTGTAAGTTCTCTTGCACCCACCTCCACAATCCATTCTTTGGAGGCTCCTATCCTAGTTCCCAAAGCTATTTTTCTTGCCCAGGCAGCAGATCTCACAGGTTTTAGAGAGTACTAGTGTAAGGAAGGGCAAGAGCATGCAGGCAATAGGCAATAGGCAGCATTGCAGGTTCATTAAGAAGGTAAGTTTTACATGGATTGGGCCCTAGCTTTACTTGGAGAAGTTACTTGATACCCTCTGGGTCTGTTTTTTCATCTGTAAAGTGGGAATGGAAATAGCATCAGCCTACCTTATAGTCTTTGTGATGGTTAAAAAGGAAAATGCTGGAACCATTTAGACCAGGGTTCTGCAAACTTTTTCTGTAAAGGGTCAGAGCATTAATATTTGTAGTTTTTTAGGTCCATAGGTCCCTGTGGCAATGCTCAACACTGTCAATGTAGAGCAAACACAGCCATAGGCAATATGTCAATGAATGGGTGTGCTCTGTTCTTTATTTTTTTTTTTTAATTTATTTATTTACGATAGTCATACAGAGAGAGAGAGAGGCAGAGACACAGGCAGAGGGAGAAGCAGGCTCCATGCACCGGGAGCCTGACGTGGGATTCGATCCCGGGTCTCCAGGATCGCGCCCTGGGCCAAAGGCAGGCGCCAAACCGCTGCGCCACCCAGGGATCCCGGGTGTGCTCTGTTCTAATGAAGCTTTATAAAAACAGACCAGAGTTTGCAGATCTCTGCTTTAGAATAATACAAAGTAAGCCTTAGGGCACCTAGGTGGCTCAATCTGTTGGGTTTCCAACTCTTGGTTTTGGCTCAGATTGTGATCTCAGGGTCCTGAGGTCAAGACCTTCAGCAAGATCTATGCACAGCAGGGAGTCCGCTGGAGATTCTCTCTCTCCCCCCAGGACCCCACCCCTGCCACTCACTCTCTCTCTAAAATAAATAAATAAATATTTTTTTTAAAAAAGGAATATGAAGTAAACCTTCAAAATGGCAGTAGTAATTATGACTCTACACGAATGTTATTAGAAGTATCTCATATTGACCTAACCTTTTTTTTTTTTTTCAGCTGCCAGGTTCTCAAAGATTAGGGTTGATACCATTCATTGATTATCCTCTAGGGAGTAGTTTGTGTGTGTGTGTGTGTGTGTGTGTGTGTGTGTGTGTGTGTAAGTGCTGGTAGGGCAGGGGTGGATTCTATCCTTTAGGCTTTAAATCTGACAACAGAATTCTATAATCCAAGTGTTTTGGGTATCACTTTTTAAATATGTCAGTCCCTTAATAATTTAATTTTTATTGATCAAATCTTATAATAAGTGAGGATAATTTGAGAAATAAATAATAGATAGCCTGGCTCATTTCTCAATAACATAGTCAAGAGTCAAGATTCAACTGAAGAGCAAAAGAAGAGAAATTTTATAATTGTTTAATTTTAAACAATTATCTGCAAAATGTGAGTAGACCAAGATAATCTAATTGTTTATATTCAGCTATCCCTGAGGTCTGAGCACTTACAGCCAAGAGAATTTATCTGATGACTTCAGTCCAAAAAACGCAACTTTAACCTAACCCTCCCACCCTCCGCCACTAACAGAGCATAAGCGTTAATTTAACAGTGTTGCATGCCCTACAAACATCAGTGGCCTTATGTTCCAAATGAAAAAGTTCATCAGTGAGCTATCTCCTGATGTGTTATTGGCTAGAGGTCAAAATTAATTAATTTTGTCAGATTGCCTTGAGTAGAGATCGAAAAGGATAGAATTCTTTGGCAGACAATTTCCGCTCTGTCATCTGCTTAGTGTTTGAGGTTTTTGTTGTTTTGTTTGTTTGTTCAATGTCTCTCCTGTGGGTCCTCCAGACTTCATATTGCCTAGAGTTCTCAGGACACAAGACTGAATAGTATTCTATTTCCCCAGTACCTCCATAGGATCATCCATAAGGTCTGTAAGTTTGCTGTCCAGAGAGGAAAAGCAATACTGGTATCTATGACAGGAATGTCAGAACAAGTGATAGAAGAAAGTCACTGGAGTACAGGTTCTGCAGTAGTGATCCTCACTTAAATAGCCTTGTATTCTTAGGCAAGCATCAGACATCACAAATCTCTTTGCTCACGCTGAACAACAGAGCAAACTGTTCCAGTCTTGCACATTGGATCATAAGAACAATTGAACAAGCAGTGTGACATGGGAACCCTCTGTAAATACACATTATTGTTCATTCTGTTCATTGCTTGGGTCCTTTTAGACCCAAACACTTCCAGTAGGAGTGGGTAGAAGGGAAAGCCATAGGGAAAGAGTTGCCTGATCAGTGAAGGTTTTCAATATCTGTGGATCCCACAGAAGGACCCACTTGTGGTTTTATATTAAAAATATGTGGCATGCGAAGCAAAATGTCTTCTCTATGCAAAGGTTCAGACTCATTTTTAGGTACAATATTTTTTTTCTCAAGTGATTACCTCTATCTGGTCATAATGGAAACTCATATCTTCGGCTCAGGGCATTCGTGATTATTAAGTAGCCTTGACATTTTGCAAGATTGCAAAATATTTTTTTTCCCATCTTGGTGAATTAGTCTTTGGGGATGGTCTTGTGATAAATCTATATCAACATTGTTTAAGACAGGGGAGTGGCAAGAACCTCAAAGCCCACAGAGGCCTCACAGCTTCAGCCCTCTGAGGCATGTGCTTCCCCCCGTGGCTACACATATCCACTGTCAAAGTGGCAGGAGGAGTACCAGGAGCCACTGTCTATCTTGGACCATGATTTTTCTTTTCAGAAATTCAAAAGAACTTTCAGATTCTTTTCCCAGTCTCAGTCTGTTATTCTAGACTCTTTTCCAGGTTGATTTTCTCCTAGGGGCTCTGTGGTTCTCCTGGCAACTTGTGTGCAGTGGGGGTCCTGCACCAGGTTCTGACACGCCAGCATGTTGCTGGACCCCATTCATTACTGGCTAGTTTCAATTCACTGTCCTGAGACATGGCTCTGCTGCAGGAGAATTAGTTGGTGAAAATAGATGCCCAAGAAGATGCATAGCCATATGTATCTTCCATACATTCAGAAGACCTTTTCAACTTCTCTGAATGTTTTATACATGACCAATATGTAATGTGGGTATGTGAAGATAATATATTGGGATGTAGAGGGATGATATGGGGTGCAGGGAATGGAGTAGGAGAAAGAACAAAAAAGAAGACAGTCTCAAAGTCGCCCATAGACTATGACAGTGTTGCCTGGTCAGCTGAGCCAATGCTTGCCAAAGATGCAGCCAGGATCACCATTCTCTGATTCCCGCCCCCACCCCCACACACCCAGCTGAATGCTGTCATTCAAACTCTTGATTTCAGAATTTGAATTTTTTACCTTTTTCTCTACTGGGGATTAGGTTGTTTTTTTGTTTTTTAAATTCTCTCCTCCTACTCAAACATCCCAGGTCCTTATATTTTATAGTCCTTCAAAGTTTTTGTGTTAAAAGGTAGCATGATCTTAACCCTCTTCCTGAGAAGACAATTTCAAACACCTTGGTGAATAACTATCTAAATAGAGAGGTATGGATAAAATCATTTGACAAAAATGAAATAATATATACTTTTCTATAATTTATGGTAATTTATTTAAACAGTTCACAAGTTGTTTGGGTGCCTAGGTTGTCCTAATTTTTTCCTAATGTATACAAACATAGAGCCAGACTAATTAGCTGGAGTAAATTAGACATTTTTTAAGAAGAAAGCATAAGATGTTAGAATTCCATTTAGAATTGTTAACAATGTGTAAATGGTCAAAACTAAAGGTGCATAAATGGTTACAAAATTGTCCCATTGTGAAATGAATTACCAATATCAAAATACAATAAAAATAAAAACTGGAATACCTGAGAAATTTTTGACCTGATCATTGGTATGATTTCACTGTGGTGCTGACCTAATTCATTGTGGCAAAATGACTTGACCACCTAGTTTTCAACAAAATTAATCCATTCATGCATTCAAGATATATTTACTGAGTCCTGGCAGAAAATAAAATCTAATAAAATGTTTTCCACACTTTTCTTCCACAGAGCTTATGTTCTAGTGGGAGAGAAAGGAAAAAAATACAAGTAAAAAAATATACAAAAATATCGTATTAAAAGTGGAATGCAGAACATTGAAATTTGGGTATATAATAGAGTGTGGCACCAGGGTAGGACTCTCCTGAAAGGACAAGTATGCCAAGAACTGATGATAAAACTGGCACCAGGCATGCAAAGACCAGAGCAAGACCATCCCAAGTAGAGGGGACAGCTGGTGCAAAACCTCTATTGTAGGGATGACCCTCTTATGCTTCAAAGAGAGAAGGAAGAATGTACTGAAGGAAGCTAAG